CTTCTCCACCGGCAAGTCAAAATACGAAGGCATGCAAAACGCATTCTCGCGACTGTCGAGGATAAGCTTCGCCTTGCTCAACATGTTCTTCCGTTTCTTCCGGCAATTCTCCGCTGTCCTGTGGCGAAATCCGTTGTCTTTCATCCGATCGTGCACCCATGCGTACATGTCCTTCCTCTTCATGAACTGATGTTGACCGTCAGTATCAACCATTAGGGCGTCGTCCTTCCCCATTATCTTCACTAGGGTGATCCTCTCCTCCAACGTCCAAGGGACATTTTGTTTCTTGTTTTTTCGCAACACTGTCTTTGCCCTTGGAATTGTTACGATGACGACCGCCCTCCCGTCCATCCAAGTTCTGCCCTTGGTTGGACCGTTGTGCACTGTCTCAGTCGTCGTGCACATTGTCCGAATTTTGYGCAGAAATGTTGTTGGCGTCTCCATCATCGTCATCGTCATCTTCATCTTCGCGCGCTTCACCTTCATCTGCGTCATCATCAAAATCTGATGGTCCCGAACAACGGTTTGCTGCAGGCTATCCATGGTCGGTCTCATGGCCATGCGCATCGGCCATTGAAGGCGTCTGATGACAAGGCGTGTGTCTCACTGATGGTCGACTCCGGCGGGCCATTTTACCGTGCACTTGCTGCAACATCTGGCTGCACTGCGGAGACCAAGGCCGATCACTCCTCATCGCGCTGCCCCTGTCAACATTGTGCTGGGAGGGGAGGTGGTGTGGTTTAATGCCCAATCCATTGACGACCTGAAACAAGCCCCGTCCATTAACTGCCCGGTTAAGGATTGAACCGCTGGTGTTGATGGCAAAGAGTAGGGCACGGATCCTCGGAGAAGGCCGTCTTGCATTTGGAATCCTCCATCATTACCCGCCGAGAGATCTGTCCTCCATCAACTGGAATCCAACCAACTGCAACCGCCAATAAAACAGGCAGCTCTCTCTCTCTCTCTCTCTCTCTCTCTCTCTCTCTCTCTCTCTCTATCTATCTATCTATCTATCTATCTATCTATCGATCTATCTATCTATCTATCTATTTCAACCGTGCAGCACCCCTCCCGAACTATCTCCACCAACACCAACGAAAGAACATAGCCACACACCCAAAAATCAAGAACAGCAGCACCAAAGTACCCAGGATGATGAGAACGGCAATGATGCCAGCACCGGCAACCCTAGGCGAGATTTTGCAACGGCTGGCACAGCAGCAGAGGGTRTCAATGACAACGGCATACATGCAACAACCCTGACAGCAGTCGTCACACGCCGAGGACCGCCAACGACAATGAGCGACTAGCACGTGGCAAGCAAAGGGTTGTGGAGTGGCATGCACGTTCTCACATGGCCCCAGCCCAGCTCCCGTCTGCTGATGTMTGTGTCTAGCTCTGACACGCACGCCTTGTCTGGAAAGCCCGACGACGGGAGATCACAAAGGACAGAACCGCGGAGCGATGGCCCGTGTGACATGCACCGTCGACGACGATAAGTTCGCAGGCTGTRAATCCGCARCACGACGGGACAGAGGATGCACGGGTTGTTTTCCACTCTGTCATCTACTGAAAGCAGTCCCCRCACCTCCAATAACACTGGGATGCAGCTCACGGACAGAGACCGTGTGACGACGCCAGCATGAACGACACCCCGCACACAGACCTTACGCCCTGCACGTGTGAAGGACATCAGCGATGACATTGCAGCACGCACGTCACCACGASTGCGGAGGRAGAAAATGATGGGGCCGCCACATGGGAGCCATGCACACCCCGGGACGAAGGTCACTGCTGCATGGCTGGCCTTCRTTCTTGCCCCGCTATAAATTTCAAATCCGAATCCGTGGGCCGCCGCAGTGCCGTTTCAAAAACAGGGGGACGCGGAACGGCCTGCCTCCATGGGCCCATGTGCCAACCGTGCRACAACAAACCRGTTGTCCGCAGCGGCATGCTGGTCCGGAAAACAGTCCCCTCCAGCGGYGCCTRGACCACGGMCTCCGGCCTTCCGAAGCCATCGGAGAACATGCCCCCCACCCTGCAATACCGGAACTCAGCGGTGATTTTCCAGACCAAAGCCATCGGAGAGCACGCCCCCCCCAATGCAATACCGGAACTCGGCGGTGATTTTCCAGACCGCCGACCATGTAGAAACACACCGTCAGCATTTCAGCAACCCCTTTCCATGACAGGTCGGGTCTGGAAAACCTTTCGAAATAGAATTTCCACACCTCTTTCCACCACCAAGCTGCCSGCCAATGGGGGCCACCTCTTATTTTGCTAGTGGGTTTCACCCATATCTGGTGCTAAGCCAGATGATACCCAGGCTAGCTTTGTGGAGAGTTTGGCTGGGTGGCACAAGAGTAAAAACAAGGGCCGCCTTTGCGTTCCATCTGCTGGCACCAGCAGGTCTAGGCTGGCACCAGCAGGTCTAGGAGTCAATCCGAGAGAGACCGGTACCTGTACCACCCTCAATTTTCCAAGTAGTGGTACCAGTTGCTGCCAGGCTCGGCGAAATTCAAATTCAGGCCCGTACATTTAGCCTAATTCAGGCCCGTACATTTAGCCTCGGGTTTACTGGTGGTTTAACGGAGAAGGCCACGGCCCATGTATGGCCCAAGTACTGGTGATTTAAACCACAGGTCCCCCCGCCACCGGGGGCTGGTGGTTTAACGGAGAAGGCCACGGCCCATGCATGGCCAAAGTACTGGTG